CATATGTAACTGTTATACAGAGCAATAAAGTTCATGTTATATATCTAATGAATGAACTGTTATAAAACCATGTCATACCTTTAGTATACGAACTCTCGAACGAAGCTGAACGATCTGGCACTTTCTATTACTCGAGTTTTTTATCTCTGTGTCGTAAAACAATAATTATGTCATAAATAAGGCAGCATTATTCGCACCTGCTAATTGTGGCCGATTATCACAAAATTGCCATTAACATTGTTCATGATTTACCGAGCTTGGTGAGACCCCCGTTGGTTCATTAATTATCATCGGTGCATGGTCTTTCGACAAACCGCAGAAAATTTGAACGAATTCTATCGATCCACTGCGACCAATGAAGGCAATATACCTTTACAAGTTCAAATTGGAATTTTACACATCCAAATTGGTAAACACTATCGAATTGGGAATAATCATTTTCAAATTCAGAATAGACAGTTTTACATTGGGAATTAACATATTCAAGTTGATTAACACAATCAAAATGAGAATAAATTCATTTTGAGATCAAACAATTTGAAATTAAGAAATATTGTGTCAAAATCGAAATTGATTATTATCAATAATTCATTGTACTCAATATTTGAATTGATTACATTCTTGAATAAGATGTAGACAATATTGGAAATCGGATACATTGAATAGGGGAAAAGAATAGAAGAACCAAAATAACTCAAGAACATCACATAACAGAATTGAATAAATATAAATAATAAAAGAGATATATAGGGATAGATACCTAGCCATAATGTTCAATGTTCATTCTTGATGCTCTGAAATTAATTGACATGGGTATGTGAAGTATTTTTATAATTATAAAAATGGGTTCATTACAATCGTTTGCAATTGAAATCCTTTTAGATATGTGATATAATATATCGAAATGAGAATGAGTGAAAATACAAATTCGACAACTGTGTTTTTATGGAATTTCGTGTTTTGTATCTTCAACAGATTCTCTAACAAATTGAATGAATGGGAGGGCGAGAAAATCACCCTAACTTTTTCGGGTGCGATTTTTGCGTGTCTAATTTGGTTCACCTTCTGTCGCTTATTTTATGAATCTGTCACCAGTCTTGAATATTTTTCCCAAACATTGTGGTCGTTTTCCATGGCCTTCGCTCAAATTTTCAATTTTTGTTATTTGATTATGAACCTTTTCATGCAAAGGGCTCTGAAGTTTCATAATTTTATACAGAAATTGCAAAATAAAAACGCATATTCAAAGAAGTTGGGGTGATTTTTCCACCCACTCAACCCCCTCCACAGTTTGACCCATTTCTTCTTCTTCTAAAATTTCATAATTCTGCAATCAACAGTTTCGAACACTGAAAAATGAAAACCACAAGTAGGGGGGCTGTTGTTCGCTTATGGAACATTATTCTACCTATGTTTATAGAAACTTTTATCCTATTTTTGATCGTAAAATCTGCTGGTGAAGTATTGCACGCTAATTATGATACACCCTGTATATTCAAATACTAGTTGAAGGTGAAGATTAGTGATGTTGCATGTCAACATGAAGGTGAAGAAAACGACCTTGAAAGTTGATGATGCAGCTCTACAGTGCAGCTGTGTAGATCAGAAGACTACCTGAATACTAGAAAACTGATGAATCATAACTCAAACACTGTAACTAACAGGATCAGAGTTCCTTAAGGAACTGTACTGAGTCTACTTGTACTAGCTCTTAGTGACGATTGATGAATAACAGGAAGTTCATGATGCCCCATATCCGGATGGAAACAATCCATGATTTCAAGCTGAAAAACAAACTCATTCGGAAGTTAAATGTTAAAAAAAGTACACAGTATCTAGTAAGGATGATGAAATGGACAAAAAAATACTCATTTATGGAAATAATATAACTGTTTTTTGTGCAAATCACAAAAATAGTACAAGTCAAATAAGAAAAGAATATCAGTGGACCGGCTAGGCTAGAGTCTAGAACTTCAAGACCACATTTAAATTTGGAAAAAGTCCAAGAAAACCAAATCATAATGGCATATTGTCGTATTTTGGATGTATGAAATGGATGAAAAATACAATCCTGATACATCTTCAATATTGTTTATTTAAAATCTGAGTCTCAATTACTTCTCCTAATATTTAGTAGCTCTCGTATTGATTGTTTTTTACTGCAGAAATAAAAAATTTAACGGTCATAAACACGAATAACCACGTGCTTTAAAAATCACGCAATCATACATTCATTATGGAGCAACATTCTAGCAACAGCTGTCATTCTCCAAAATAAATGAGGCAATTACTTTTTTGCTGAATACCCAGAATCATGTAATTTCGAAAATATGCTCGAATATATCAGGCAAGGAAGATGATGAGTTGAACAACGCTATAATTTTTGCATACTCACCTAAAAAGACACTTGCTGTATCTCGAGTAATGCGGTAGCAGTTTTGGAAATATAATAATTATCCAGTAAATTTGCTCTAATTTTTTATGATTCCTCACACGAATATAAGGTAAGAACGATGCAACTTGACATGCGAATTAGGGAACCAAACAGTATAGTCAAATCACAATTGTGTAATGATATAGTTCCGACATATTTTGTATCATTGGGTAATGTATTATCAGACCCTCAAACAGATCCTTGAGGTACTCCCACATTTTTTATCAGGTTAGGTCGGATCGAAAGTGACCAGATGAAAAATCAGAGGAGGAAAGAAGACTCATTTTCTGTTCTTTGCTTGATGATTTTGCCAATCATTATTCCTTTCCAACTGTTTTTCCAACATCTCCTTACTAGATTTTGACATGCAAAAAGCTGTGAGAAGGAAAGTGCTCGTTTCTGGTCAATATCATGAATAGTTATTCAATTGTCGGTATTTGTTTGCTACTCGATACAAAATAAGCTATTATCGAAAGAATTTCAACATTCAAAATAAGGTTAGATAATGAAAGGAAATGGAAGAATACCTGGCACTTGAAGGAGGAAATGATATGGGAAAATCAAAATAGCTGACTCTCAAACATACATGAATATTTCCATTAAACAAAAACGTTGCATACGACCTTTATCAAACTCTGTTTCAAAATTTGAAATGAGGTTAGATATAAGACGAAAATGAGAGAATTTCTGGCACTATTCTGAGATATAATGATATTGGAAATGAAGGAGGGAATGATATGAAAAATCTAAACAGCTGACTCTCATCCATACATGAATATATAAAAAAAATAAAAACGTTGCATCCGAAATCTATGAAACTTTGTTTTATCATTCGAAATGAGGTTAGAAATATCGGATGATAATGAGATACGTTGCATACTATCTACTTCAAACTCTGTTTCAACATTTAAAGTGAGGTTCGATATTAGGACAGATATGAGAGACTACCTACCACCTTGCTGAGATGGAATGATATTGAATATGAAGAAGGAAATGATATGAGAAAATCAGAATAGCTGACTATCAATCATCCATGGATATTTGGAAGAAACAAAAAATTTGCATGAGACCTTCATCATTCTAAATGAGTAATCTCTGGTAGAAGTCCATCGTTTCTCAAAGTGGAGTACAGTGGTTGAAACTGAATAATACTCAAAGTCATCTCGACGACAATTTATTGTGAAAACTCACGGGTACCTTGTGAATAATCACATCAAGGGAACATGTTTCCGATCATACGTATGTCCATCATCAGCCTCAAAAGAAATTACATAGTCATGAAGTATAATAACCGTAGAGAATTAAAAAACATAAAAGTTGGTTGGTTAGTTGTTTACTAGGGGGATAATCATTTTGCCGTCAACTTGCTCATAGAAGTACCCCAAATGTTAAGGGGCTCTTTCATGGACGTATATCCATGGGCTCTTTAGTTTTTAATTATCCACCATAATGCCCATCTATGAGGGTTTTCATGGTTATCTCCCTTGAAAATAACAAATTTTTTCACCTTAATGAATATGTAATTTCTTATTAGGCTGATGATGGACATACATATGTCCGAAGACATGTTCCCTTGAATCCCTTGATGGGATTTTTCACAATGAACTCGTGAGTTTTCACAATAAATTGTCGTAGAAATGACTTTCTGTATTATTTAGTATTATTCTTAATGATGTTAGATATCAGAAGGGAATGAGATTATACTGGCACTTTTCTGAGATGGAATGATATTGGAAATGAAGGAGAAAATGATTGTGTAATGTATTATCAGACTCTCAAACAGATCCTCTCACATCCTTTATTGGTCAACGATCGAAAGTAACCAGAAAAGATTTGGAAAATAATTCAAAAAGTAATGAAGAACTATTACTTCTCGTTTTTTGCTAGATAATTTCATTCATCATTCCTTTCCAGCTGATTTTTTCAACATCTCATTTCTAGAACCAGACGTGCAAGAAACTGTGAATAGATTGGCGCAAATTTCTGGTCATTATCAAAAATAGTTATTCAAGTGTCGGTACTTGTTTGACAAACCTATTACCATCGGTACTGGTCGATACGAAATTGGCTATTATCGAGAGTGCTTTGTGTTTTGGAATAACACCGTTGTAGCTTCGGGCTATGATTTCATTCAACAGGACCAGAAAAAATATCAAAAATTCATCCACAATCATTTCCATACTAATGTCCCAGTATGTATACAGTGTATTATTTAACCATGTGAACGTAGGTCCTGAAATGCTTCGTTTTCAAGTTAGAGGGAGTTTAATTTGGAGGTATTGACAGCAAAATTTAGTCTGGTTGGAGACTGAGGTGGTCTCAATATTTCACAATGATACTCGTTGAAGTTATTGAATAATCCCAAGTTACTGAACGATCTAGGAATATCCTCCTTTCTGAAGCAGGAAAATCAGTAACTAGTTTACCTTTTCGCTCCTACTGAATGGATATTCTGACTTCATTGCTCTCATAAGGATGGTTCATCCTGTTGGTGTATATATTATAATAAAGGCAAGTGCAAATATCCGATATCCAAATAATTCCCCAGGTGAAGGAAATCCGCTCCATGTTCCAAGAAGCGGAATTCGACAAACCGAAAATCGGCACCGTCGAAGAATTTCAAGGCCAGGAATTCGAGGTCGTCCTGCTGTCTACTGTGCGATCCTGCGAGGAACACGTTCCTGCCGATATCACGCACAGCCTGGGCTTCGTGGCCAGCCTCAAAATGCTCAACGTGGCAATTTCTAGGACCAAAAGCCTGCTGGTGGGGATAGTCAACCCTAACTGTTTCAAGATACCTATACTGGCGTTCTGTGGTCAAATATTGTGTCGAAGTTGGGAGTTATATTGGCTGTGATTTTGATTGTTGAGTCCTATACCACTTACTTATTTTCATGAATATTTGTTCTTGATGAAATCATGTGTTTTTTTTTCGGCAATAATTACATTTTGAGGTTGAGATGCTCTTTGAATCGGACTTATATAACTCCACTTGTTTGTTCAATAATAGAGAGAGAGAGAATATGCTTCATTGTCTAAAGATGTAAAATCTCATTGACAAAGTAAGTAAAAAAAATGATCTTGAAATAAATATCAAGACTAGAACAAGAGGAAATCGCTACTATAACAACACAACATTTTAAAATCTATTTGAACACTTAGCTAGTTCATAAGGGACACATTACAACATATCAAAATATTCCTAATAAAAATGGTTCTATGGTTAGAATATATCATCAAAAAACTCTTGTAAACTATAATAGGGTTTATCCGAAAAGAGTGCTATTATTCTATGTTTGAATTTTTTATTGGATCCAACTTCCTTGGTGTCTTTTGGCAAATGATTGAACATCTTACAGCCTACATAAATTATTGAATCTTTAACTAGAGTCGATGATGGAATTGGTGATTTAATGTTACCTGCTTCTCGGGTGGCATGGTGTGCAGAGGTAGTGTCAAATTTTCCTAGATGTTTTTTAATGAAGCACACCGTTTCCAAAATAAAGATCGCATAAACTGTTAAAATTTTGTGTTTAATAAAAAGGGGTTTGCAGGGGTCACGAATTTTTGCTTTGCACATATATCTTACTGCGCGTTTTTGCAATATAAAAAATGAGTTTATGAGATGATCATTACACACCGCCCAGAATGGAATTCCATACCTTAAATGAGATTCAACTAAGGAGTGGTAAACAACCTTAGAAGTAGAAAATCCTAATTCATTTGATGTTAGTCTCACCGCATAACATCCAGAAGACAATTTTTGTTCAAAATTTTAACATGTTCGTCAAATTTCAATCTGCAATCTATTTGAATGCCTAGAAATTTGGTATTATTGGTGTTTTCTATGACGTCATCACCCATGATTAGCTCGTTTAATTCACCTTCAAATGACATCATATTAGTTTTTGTCAGATTCATCACCAACTGATTTGAATCACACCATTTTTTAACCTCAGACATGTCATCCTTGATGATATCAAGAAGTGTTTCGGCATTTTCATTATGCCAGAAAATGCTCGTATCATCCGCGAACAGCGTTATTTTTCCTGAAACGTTAGCTCTGGCTAAGTCATTAATGTATAGTAAAAAAAGCGTTGGTCCGAGTATAGACCCTTGAGGCACACCACATTCTACAGTCGACTCATTGGAGTATGTTGTCGTTTTCACAATTTGGCTTCGACCTGACAGATATGACTCTATCCATTTCTGAGAGACACCCCTGAATCCATAATGGTAAAGCTTTCGCAACAGTATTCCGTGGTTCACATAGTCGAACGCCTTAGATAAGTCACAGAATACTGCTGCAGTAACTCCTCCTTAATTTATCTGTGTGTAAACGTCAAACAAAAAAGCGAAAATTGCATCATTTGTATCTTTTCCAGCTTGAAAACCGAACTGAGCATTAATGATGATCTTATTTTTAACTAAGAAAGCCGATAATCTAATCTTAACTAATCTCTCAATAATTTTCGCTAATGTAGGAATAAGAGAGATAGGTCTATAGTTTGATGGATTATTAAGGTCACCACCTTTGTGCAGAGGAATAACTACCGATATTTTCAGGAAATCGGGAAATGTACCTTCTTGGAAAGTTTTGTTTATTAGATTTACCTATTAGATTTACCATGATATTGACTGCATTTTCTGGAAGATTTTGAAATATCCGTATATATAGATATATCATCAATGCCTGAGCTTGATTTATTTTTGAAAGAATTTATAACATTTCTCACTTCATAAATGTCAGTATTGTATTATTGTCTTCAACGTACTCACATTAAAATAAATCGGGAATATTGAAAAAAGTCCCCTACATTGAAATTTGAATTCAGATCCGTTTTTTATTATTTTCCCAAAACGGGAGTGATATACAAAAATTCAATTGATGAAAAGAAAGTTTTATTTACAACTGTTCGATTTGGTTAAAATATCGAAGAAGCAGGAAAAAAACTATGACCATAAATATCGAAGATTATTTCGAATCCATTTACTCTAATGAGAGTCAAAGAGCTCGAAACCGGTCTGTAGGTGCCTAGCGTGGCCAGGAAAATAGTTGTTTTTCAACCGGAATCTACCATTGTTGTTTATTTTATGAACATTGTGTGGATATGACTTTGAGCTTTTTGTATTTATTTAACATATCATTCCACTTGTGGCTTATTCGTAGTTGTTCTTCCTAGATTGTTCATGCTCTACCTAGTACACTTTTTTGCATAATTAACGGCTTGCATAAACAGGTGAAACGATAATGTCATAATATCGACTGACGATGGAGTATAGGCACCAGATATTCCTGTCCCCTGCAGCTTTTCCTGCTTCTTACCAGCGCGATCGAGCTCACTTTCCTGCTTAAAAACCAGCAGCGAGTGCACCGCGAAGGTAATTCAACGTTGCCGAGTCATAAATAATGCTATCGCATGATACGTTATTTTTTTGGCGGGTAGATCGTTTCATTCTGGTCATTTTGATGTTATAGCAAATGAAGGAGCGGTGGCTAAAGCCGGGAGCCTTCCAAGGATAATGACAGCTAGCTCGAGGCGATACACTCCATGCAAGAGGATGCAGCGATTTCATTCATCATTGATATTAAGGAAATATTGTGGAATTAACTGCTTACTACTCGTAACGTTGAGTACATCTTTTTATATTTTCTCAGCAAATCTCTCAACAATCATTTCATTTCCATAATTATATTATAAGACTGCGTTATAAACGGATCTGTCAGTATGATTGATTGAGGAATAATATACTCTCAATATCATATACTTCCGTCAAGACTGAAGAATGTTACATATGCATTTCAGGAATTGTGACACTCCTTATTAAAATGTTTCCCATTTCAATAAAGAAGATGATTCGATGGTTTTGTTCCCATGTATCCAGCTCACAAACTTCATGGTCCAAATGATGACAGTGAAGTAAAATCAACAAGCCATCAAAATATATTGTGCAAACAAGTCAAAGTATTGGCACAAGTTCAAAGAACATATTGCTTACTTTAGATATAAGCGGATTGATGAAGCAAGTGTTGCCCAGATAGAGATTTGAACACTTCGAAAATTATTAACAATAATTGTAATAGAGATCATCTAGTCAGAATACGATTGAGCAACTGAATTTGGAAAGAATTTCTGAAACTCATTATATCACGAAGGAAACACCATCTGGGCGAAAAAGATGGGATGAACTGCGCTCTAAGAGATAACATATTAGAAAATCATTCAGAGACAAAGAGTTTTCCATGGGATGCAAGACTTTCTCTCCAAGCTCTATAGCTCAAATCTTGCAACCAGGTCAAGAATCTCTGAAAGCAATCACAAAAGAGAAATAAAACCTTGAGGATGAAGTTATGAGTGAAATACTACTGGTTACATAAGTCTGAGGTCTGGAGTTCACTGAATGCTTAGAAACAACCATAGACAGATGAAATTGAATGAGCCAAAATACAAACAACGGTGAAGAGTTTGGAGGTTGAAATTAACCTCTAACTTCATGTCACAATCACACACCAGGAATACTTGCCACGTGCATAATAATATGTTCGCTGGAAAGTTCCTATTGAGCGAATTCATGACATCATTGAGCTCGAATAAGAACTAAACATTCCTTATGGACACAGCTTCGTACATAAAAGATACAGAACGCCCTAAACCAGATCCTTGAGGCATCCCAACGTTCTCTACCCGATTTTTCATTGTTTGGTAATCTTTCGTCAGGCAGGGTACTCGATAAACTATTTATATTGATTCTTCAAGGATACAGCTCCGTACATAATAGTTACAGAGGCCCCAGAACTGATCCTCGAGGCATTCCAAAAGTTTTCGTTATTGGCTGGAAAACCTTCTTCACGAAGTGTACTTCCTGATTGAATCTATAGTATCGGAAGCCCGATCAAAAAATACTGAACACATAGCCTGGTTGGGCTCTGGTGATGGACAAGCAATAATAAATAGTATGAAAACTTGTGCAGTATACAGGGTGTTCCATGACTCGATGCCCATAGCGTAAGGGCATATTCCTTGGATGATTTTGAGTCGAAAGGGCCCTATACACTTTTGTTCAGAATTCATAGTCGAGGAGTAATGGGCAAGTTGAATGCAACAAAATGTTGTATAATGTGATGGTAGAGTTTATCAATTTGGATTTTCTCAAATACTCATACAAATTCGATTGAACTTCTTGTTCGAAATGTCTTTTCGCTGCTTCACAACATAATCTTGCTCTTCTTATTATTGAAAACGTTGCCCTCTGGCTCGTCTCGTATAAATGCAGCTGTAGTTATAATAATTTGAATCAGCTAATCTCTGCTTTGTGGTCTATTTGAATACATACTAGACTTTCCTTATGTCCTCAGAGATAATAATAGTCGAGAGGCGTTATGTCAGGAGGTGACCTCGTTGGCCAAAGAACTGAAACACCTCTTTCAACATAACAGTGAGCAAAGTTGTTATTCAATTGCTTATAACTCCTCAACTATATTATAGCCAAAAGTGTATAAGGCACTCTTGACTCAAAATATTGCCAACGGAATATGCCCCTGAGCTATGGCAATCGAGTCACGGGACAACCTGTATAATAAGTTGACTGGAAGGTTACAGTATCGTAGATTGGATTCATGATATCATTGGGTTGAAATCACAAATGAACTTCAAAAAAGCATTTTTATTCATTCCTCAAGGACACAGATCTGTACATAATAGTTACAGAAGGCCCCAGGATGGGTCCTCGGGGCATTTCAAGACGTTTTCGGCGATTTGTTATTGGCTGGTAAACCTCCATCAGAGAGGATACCCAATAAACTATTTACAATTATTCCTCAAGGACACAGCTCCGTACATAAGTGTTAGATACGGC